CTCGCCATGCAAGGCACAACGTCATTATCCATTCGTAATTCTGTACAGATCTACATCTATCACCTTGTTTTTCTTTTTATGAAAAAGGTATGAGCTGGGCAAATCATACTTTGTCTCTGCTATAACCTCAATATGATCAAATTTATTTAAATAATAATCACGGGTCTTCGTAGAGTGCAGCACATATACCACATCGCTGCATCTCAGCGCGGCTTCAATCGCTAGTACATCAACTCCCTTGCACCGCATACCAAATGGCGGGTTCATAACGCATGTATCAAATTTGGTGCTCACTCGCAAACTTTGAAAATCGGAGTTTACCAAATCAACGTGTTGATCCACGGCCGCCATGTTTTCTCTGCATATCTCCAACGCATCCCGGTCAATATCCACATTCACAACGGACAAAGGCTCATAGAACGTGCATGTTATTCCTAACATTCCCGTCCCGCCACACAAATCCAGGACATTCTTCCCGCGAATATCGCTGTATACCGTTTCAATCATGTGCACCGTTGTTGCTGAGAGAGATGGCGGTGTTATGTACTGCTCATATTTAATTTTTGGCGTTTTAAAAGGCTTAAGCTGTGAAAGTACTGATTTTACGTCTTTCAATTTCATAAAAGGCCTGCTAAATTAAAATTATTTTGCGCAGTGCCCGGTTGATTCTATTGTGCAATTCGAACAGTGAATGAACGGTGTTTAATTCACAAACTGGATTGCTGAGGTGCAGAATTAGTTTGGTGTTATCATGTATGAGATTAATTTGGCTGCCGATACAGCAATGTTCGGTCAAATTATTTGCGACAACGAAGGCTGAATCCATGAAAGTATCGCGATAACAAGCTCATTCATTATTCAAATAAAATATTTGAACTAAAACGTGAGCTTTCGTTGCAGAAAATGCTTGTATTGCGGTTTGTAGAACGTTTCTTACATTTGATAAAAAGAAAGAGGCACTCAGCACCGTATTACGGTATTCGTTCATGAGATTGTATAACAAAATAGTAAAAATCAGGCATTGTTCCTACCTTTATTGCAAATTTGTGACTGTGTCTTTTTCATTTTGAGACCTACTTTCCAAATAAGTGCGTTTATTTAGCTTTTCAAACATCAAATGACATCATTTCAATACCTATTTTTTAATTAGTGGATATTTCCGTTTATTTCTCAATTCAATTTGTGCGCAACCAATCCATTTTCTTGTTTTGCACGTCTAAAATTCAATTTGTGCGCAACCAATCCATTTTTCTTACCCCGGCCCAATAAAAATTAACAAACGCTCTTTTCAATTCTCGTCATTCGTACCCCTCAATGAAGAACATTCTGACATCCTCATCAGTTGTAGCATTCCGTTACTCCGATGGTATAATTCTTTCCTCGGACACATCACTGAACTATGGCTCGTTTAAAATGAACAGAGGAGTAGAAAAGCACTACTTTCTCTCCAACAACACGGTAATGATAGCACGAGGTGAATACTCCGATTTTCAGGAACTAAAGAAAATATGTGATGAGGAAATGGAGTACGATGAAAAGATGGGAACAAGAGAATGGATAAGGTTCATTCAGCGCACAATGTATTATAAGAGAACACGGATAGAGCCGTTGAACCTGAGCATAATTGTTGCTGGGTACGATGAGCGCAACGAAAAACCTGCGAAGGAGATCAACAGCATGGAGCATTTTGGTCAGAAGCTTGTGTTTGGTGCGATTGATAATATTGGCAACTTTTACACCGATGATGTTCTTGCATGCGGAATCGCATCCCATATGGCGCTGCCATACGTAAGAGGCCATGATGCGATGAGCTTAGATCGTGCTGGTGCTACAAAGCTGATGAAGGAGACGATGCAAACCCTGTATTACAGGGATTGTATGGCAGACAACCATGTCAAGATTCTGGGTGTAGAGAGGGATGGAATATGGGAGAATGAGGAAATAGTTTTGAACGGTAACTGGGAGGATGGCAGGTACTTTTAATAAAAAGGTGCTGTAAATTCTTTTCTATTTCTTGTTTTCGCCAAAAATACGTTTATTCGTTTTATCTCTTATTTTTGATGCGGAGTAACGAAAGCACTTGAATACCCGCTTCCTGTGCTCGTTAGGCAGCTCCTTTATTTATGTTCGATGCCTGTTCGGTTCATTACCGTAATTGTTGCCTAAGACAGGCCATTTTGTACGTTGGCATGGTGGGGTAACATTTCCGAGCCATTCTGCCTTAGATTGCGATTGTGGTTACTATAGGCTTAATCGTAGCAAATGGCATTTTAAATGATCAGCACTTTCGCTCACTATTCTTTTTCATCCTTAAAACCAAGTCTGCAATTGCCTTGTCTGCAGAACAAGGTACACCCCCATTTATTTGCTTTACCGGTGTTATTTGATCCAATAACAAACTGAGGGATGACTTATTTGGTGCTGGTACAAATGTGCAATTCCTTAAGATTGATGTTTAAAGCATTCTTTGGAGACTGAAGGGCCCCTCACGCATACCGAATTCAAAACCGTAATCGTGTGCGAACGTGGCATGGAAGTAAATAAACATACCTTTGATGGAAAGCTCCGCAAGAAAAATAAAATAAAAGGATGATTCTACACGCAAATCGAGGATGTTTAGTCATAAAAATTTATTTAAGGATCAAGCAGTCGAATTGACCAGCTGACCAGAGACCAGGCTGTGTATGTTTTTTCCCAGATAAGCGAATGCAACCAATCCAAACACAAAAAAAATAATACTAAGCGGTTTCTTATAATTCCTTGAGAACGAGTTCGTAAATATGCCCACAACATAAATCATTGCGAGCGGGAATGCGCAGAAATACTTTGCTCCGCAGAAACCTTCCACAATCACAGGTACGAACAAAAGCACCAGGAGTATGTAACGCAGCGAAATGATGTAGTTGAACTTATTCATATTCTGCTTGTACGTGCTGTAGTAGTACGACAGGTAGTATCCGTTGATAAAGGACAATGCTAACATCCCATACGAGAGTAAAAATAGTGCTGCATTGCCTAAATTGTAATCCTGGTGGTTGTACAGGAAGTGCACTGCCACGGGCACGGCCAAGATCGATACCAGCGAACCAAACAGTATAAAAATATCCGATTCACTCACCGTTCTGCTGATATTGCCACTTATCGGATAGTAGATAGACTTTCTGTTGTAGTACTCACATATGCTTAGCGCAAACAATATCAGAATAGGTGCCAGCCATCGGTAGTACAGTTTGCTGTATCCCAAGCATAAAACGTAGAAAACAAGCGATGCGATGAGTATTAGAACGGTTATTCCATCCGCTAATACCCGTGGAGTGTTTGCCAAAGTAATTCCTTTGTATTTGTGCTGTCCCATGAGGTGTGGGAGGCGTGCTATTTTATATTTACGAATTTTTCCATTTTTGATCTTTTCATTTTAATATGCGGATAAAGGGACAAATAGATTGTTGCAAGATGTGCGTGGAAAGTGGCCTAATACGTAGAAATTAGCGAACGTGTACGAAAACGAAGGCTCAGCATACTTCTTAATAACTTTGCATCTTTGTTCTAATGCTAGCTGCGCCATTTCAATTTGTAAAACGAAATAAGAGAGCTGTTCTGATGCGTGGTGGTATTAAAATATGATCTGATGCATGAACAGTACATTTCGTGCATTTTACCGATCAGTTAGCGTTAAAGTGCTAATTAAAAGGCATTTAATGACTAATCGATAAAAACAGATAAATTGTGCGTTTTTAAATGTGTCGAGCACGGTTCACCACAGAGCATTCGCAGGTCGTATGCTGCACCAGTTTTATTGGTGGCTTGCGGTAATCACCACCATTATTTGGGCGTTCAGGGCACGTTATGTGGCAAAAGGTGTTAACAGCAGTTTTAAATGTGGGTCGCACCTGAGAATGACAGCTAATTACAGCGTAGAACGAACATAAGAAAACAAAAAAGTTTGCCCTGGTGATGCTCGTATTCTTGAAACCTTGTTCTTGTGAATGTAAAGCACTTGCATGAAAACGAGGAGGTATTTGGCGAACATAACTTTTCGAAGTATTTGCTGTGGTATGAATCTATCAGCCCTATTTATCGTGTTACGGATCGATCAGCCCTATTTATCGTGTTACGGATCGATCAGCCCTATTTATCGTGTTACGGATCGATCAGCCCTATTTATCGTGTTACGGATCGATCAGCCCTATTTATCGTGTTACGGATCGATCAGCCCTATTTATCGTGTTACGGATCGATCAGCCCTAGTTTATCGTGCACTTCAACCCCATTTATTTATCGTGCACTTCAACCTCATTTATTTTCATGAGAAACACCGTCTTCTCCTTATCTTCCTCCTCGGGATGGTGCACAATCTCGTAATCTTTTATAACCAACCTCTTTTCAAAAAATGGCGCATCTAATACGGCAGTTTCATACTCGCCACCTTCCCCACACCAGTTATCCATCTCCATTCCCCTGATCACATTCAATTTCCTTCCCACAATCTCTTTACCCAGATTCGTGCACGCCACCTTGACAAAAACCACATCCATGCACTCAACAATTGCATCGTAGATGGCCCTCTGTTCCAGGTTGAACAAAGGTGCCAGAACACCAAGATTGAGCCTATCACATACGTTTTTGATCCTGTTATACTGGTAATAGCTCTTGATAGCACCCACACTGACGCACTCGAAAGCTACATTCTTTTGTAGCTGCAAAAGATACTCGTATATCACCTCAACCTCATCCTCGGGGGTAGTGGTGTACTCTTTGTCAGTATTTATTGCTTTTCTGTTCGTCTCGCAGATATAAATTGGTACATTTAGCACCTGTCGATAGAAGGGGATCATTTCGTGACCAACTGTCTGGTACATGTACGAGTCTATTTCCGCGCTTTTAATGTACACGAGCGCAACAAGATTGTATTTTTCTCGTTTGAGTAGCTCTATTGTGTAAAAACTGTCTTTACCGCCACTTATTAAACCAACAAAGCTTTTCATGCATGGGTCAGCCAAAAGCAAGAAGAAAACGGCGGACGATGACCGTATAAACAGGAATGCACGGTTCAACGCAAATTTTTATAGAAAAGTGTTCTGCGAGTTTGATTATACAAACGATTCAAACGGTGATGTAGCGATAAGAATTTAATGCGTGTGCCATGACACGAAAGCACTGTTCAAACATTGTGCGAATGTACGAAGTGCAAGAGAATGTTATTTTGCGGCTCATTCAATTTACATTGTAACTTGCCAATCAAGGAAACACGTGATCAGATCGGTGACCCTGCCGTACTTTAAAACATGAAACGGTTTTAGCAGCATAATGATCGCTATTAAATTTATTTAAAAATTAGCTGCGCTATTTCCGTTTATAAAACGAAAAAGTTCTCTATCCGTTCAATGATACTTTCTTCTTTCTATATGTCGTATTATGTTTTTTCTACTGTTTAAAATCTTATGATAGGGGTTAATTAGCTACTATTCAGTGCTTGTGTAATTTTAATATTGTTAGTGAAGAACAACTGAGGGCGTTTCAGAAAGAGTGAGTTGTAGAACAATTTCAGACCTTTATTCAGTGCAAATACATGAAACACAAAATTTTTTATTTTTCTCTAAGGGTCAAATAATTTATTTCTTGGAACCGAACAATCATCTTCTGAATTGTCTTTTTATTTATATGATGAAATTACTTGTTTCCCTATACATTAGCAACACAGAATAAATACATTTTTTTATTTACGGGACCGACCATAGCTATTGGTTGTATGATGGCAAGTAAAATGAACATTTTTTAGCGTTGATATAGGAGGGAGCTTGCTCAGCAATCACAATATATCATGTTTGCACAAAGTATACCTTTTAATATTTGCATTTTATCTAATACACATGAAATTAAACAATTCCTTGATCGTTTCAAGCCGTGTTTAATCCGTTTGTGTAGGTTTCTCTTGCATAACTGTTTTAAGAACCGTTCACATCGGTTCCTAGTAGCACCATTATTTTGATCACCTTGTTTTGTACACAATTGAATGGTAGCCATGATTTAATTCTGATTTATTAACTTACTACGTCTTTTTACCTTCCATAGTTCGTAAATCATGCTCGGTTGATGGTTTTGTAGCGCTCAACCCTATTCAGGCCAATCTCTCATCTTCTTTTGCACTCAAATTACCTTTTGTTCATTCATTTTTTTTTAATCTGCCGATTCTCCATTCGCTGGTCCATTTTTCCGTTCAGCAGATCATTTTCTACCTTGCTGTGCGGTGTAACTGAAGTAACAAGCAAATTAATGTTTATTTTTATGTTTTTTTACCTCCGTTCCCTTACTTCGGTGCTTTCTCTTACTTTTCAATTCTCTGATCGTTTCATTTCTTCCATCCCATATTATAAAATTACCTATTTCTGATACAACTTGTGCAGTAACTCTAGCTCCTTGGTCTTCTTCAGTCCGCGTTTACCATCTTTTAGCTCTTGGTCAACAACTAAATCCAAATGCCCGTCAACGTACTCTTTACTTCGAACTATCGCAGTTGCTTCCGTATGCCTTGCATCTTTCGCGCTGTGTTGGTACTCACGTTTAAAATTAAGCATCACGTTCCTCAAGATTCTACGGCCCTCTCTCCTATCTGTTGCAATGTGCACCAATCCAATTTTATTCCTCAACACTTTGTAAATTATACTTTTGATTTTTAAAATATTTTCGGTACGTCCCTTGAACTTCATAGACCTGTACATCTCAAAAACCTGCGTTGTGTATTCCGGGCACGATAGTCTGCTAAGTATCGCTTCAATGGTTCGAAGTGCTACATACTGTCTGTATGGAAGACGCACATTCTGGGGAGAGTTGTAATTTGTGTACGTGGTGACGTATTCACCGCACTTTGCGCATACCTCGGTTTCAAATTGGTGTTCACACATTTTGCGGCGATGTACAGGGCACGAAAAGGGGCAGAGAGATTTTTGAAACATGATTCCTCCCGACATCTCTACAAGCACCCCGAATTAATGGCAAGAACCAAAAACATGGTTCCTCCTAACATTTCTACAAGCACCCCGAATTAATGGCAAGAACCAAAAATTTACATCAATGTATGGAATATCCAACAAAAACAATTTTTATAAGCATATTTGCTATTGCAGAACGATATTTTACTCAACGCTGACATGAGAGTGCCTTGTATTGGTCATGTACTGCTATTCGTTTCTATTTAATAACAGTAAAGTTTTTCAGTTCTACATGTGTGATTAATTCTGTGATCAACAATTTGCTTATGCTATAACATGTTAAAAACAGGTTTGGTGGTAAACGAACACGCTGTTGCGAAAATATGTTAAAAAATTTATGGGTCGATTTAATCGAAAACGTTAATGATTCTCATCTTTACCACCCCTATGTCTGAAAGCTCGGCACCACGCGACACAAAGGTAATTTCGCTGATTCTGCGCTCGCTAGGCATAGAGGAGTGCGAACCAAAGGCAATACTGCAGATCCATGAGTTCGTCTACAAATACGCGACCGATGTTATGAAAGATGCATCGCAATATGCAGAGATGGTTGACAGGCAGGTTATAACGGAGAAGGACATCAAATTGGCACTACAAACAAAGGTGGGCCGGTACTTTGTGCCTCCTCCACCTAGAGCATACATGAATGACATTGGCACTATGGTGAATAGCCGACCCATCAGACCGCACGGAGAAGGTGCAAACAAGCTGCCCATGGGGAAGAACACCCTGCTCAACTTCGAGAGCAGGCTGATAGATGAAAATGAGATGTAAAATTGCGATCGAACAGGCGCACGCAAATTATTGAAGGAACGGCTTGTCTATGTTAAGGTTATGAATTATCCTCTTGTACTCCACGTAGTCTATGCTGCTAATAAAATGGTTAACTTCTTTTTCGCCCTGCTCTTGCTCACCGTCGGTCTTTGCAATGAGTATTCTCCTATTTTCAAAGCAAAACTTTACTTTTTTCAGTTTGATTGCGAAGGAGAGATAAAAAATGTTTTCGATCGTTCTCGTGAACGAGTCAGGATTTATAACCAGTCTGTAGTAGTCTATCTTTTGATTACCGATCGCATCCGTGATTTTATCGATCTTGTGTGCGAAGTTGTCATCTTTTATTCTCTTGTGCTCTATTTTTGTACTCTTTCTGTCTTGTTCCTCCACCTTCGCCTCTCTTTTCCTTCTTAATCGGTCGTTCACCGCCAGGCCGTAATGATGTTTGAAGGTTATGCCGTAGAATCTCTGTTCCAAGCTCCCAAACAAGATGTGCATTTTCCTGTTGTATCTTTCTGCACACTGCTCATCACCAATGTTCTTCTTTAATCCTTTGTTCAAGTTGTTTATAAACGACATGGTTGTAACCTTCCTGTTTCTAAGTTTCTTCTCGAATGTGAGCGATGAAAGATTCACGGCCTCCGCCGATATTTTAGCATCAAGTTTTAGCTCCGCTGAAGTTGTTATATCCGTGAACAAAGTATTTGTTTTCGCAATTATGTTATCTAGATTGGAAGTGTCTGTGTCTGCCAGTTCTTCCTTCTTATTTCTGAGGTCGTTTAGTAGATCGAAGTACTGGTCCTGGATACTTTTCATTTGCAAGGGCCCTGATCCGCAGTGGGCGATAAAATGGACAAACAGGCCGATCGGTACCGACACTAAACACGAATTCCGCCCATTCTTTGATTATGAACGGCAGCCAAAAGATGAAACGGCTATAATAAGGATGGTAAGCTGTTATAGTATCCACCACATGCCTCAAGAACTGAACGAAAGATTCCATTCGTAATTTGTTGGTGGTGCAAATAAAGTGCCATGTTTTCAAATTGTTCTTGGTTGTAAGTCTAAATCGGTAAATGGATCAAAATATTTTAGCACCACATCAAACTCAAGCGCTCATAAATAAAATATGACACGTATCTGCCAAACGGCATAGCAGTTACAATTTGTGTGGTTAGCATAGCAGTTACAATTTAAGAGCATGGCTAAACCTATCAGATCACTCGCAAGAATTGGTATTTAATATGCGTTTTATTAAAGAAAATGATCCACCGATTTCGTGATGATTCGAGCTTATGATTGTTAGGATTAATACCGCCTCATGTCAGTACCAAGTCAAACGCTCTCCTTAAGCAACAATAGCAGCGATCGAGAAGTATATGTTTAAGTTCTGCATGGAGTGATTTCGTCTATTTCCTATGAGTAAGAGAATGGTTACGCACCGATAATTATTCGTAGATAGTTACAGGTATTAATCGTTGCAGTGAATTTTAGTACTTTGTGGCGCAGGTCGAATTAATTTGATGCGCTTTTGGCCTAATGCTACGCAGATGGCACGATTGTACTGCCTGAAGTACTTGTCTGGGTCAGCAACAGTTGTGCACTATTTAGAAACTCGCCATTTTTCAGTTTGTCAATTTGCAACCCCTTTAAGACATGAAGGACGAAAATGAATGCAATGCTGCAGGAGACAGGGACATATCGAACCACGAAATAAAATCGCAGATTATAATTTTGGAGAATAAATTAAAAATAGAGAAGGTGAAGTACAGACAGAACGTACTGATCGAACAAATAAAGAAGCTAAAGGAGTTGTACGTACAGAATGATCGGTACAACGCGCCCATGGTGCATGGCGTTGCCAAACTTGACATTTCGGGTCATGATAAAACGTGTCATAGCAGTCACGCACCTCAAAACGGGTGGATACGTGATGTGTCGGCGAATCCTGCTAGTTCGTGTGATACAATTGTTTATCTGGACAAGAATAATCTTCACAGCCTTAGATCCGGTTTCAAATATAGCAAGGTATGTGTGAAAAATATTTATACGGAACAATGCTTGGCATTTGACTGCGATGAGCTGACAATAAACGCATGCAGTAATCTGAGGATAACCACGAATGTGTCCGGTTCAATATTTATTGAGAATGTCCAAGAAAGTGCCTTGAAAATCAATGCTGGACAGATCAGGCTGGTAGGTTGCCGCGATCTTAAATTAATGGTATACACTAAATCAGGAATTTCTATTGAAAACTCGGAGCGAATTATCATTGAGGAATGGAAGATACAAAATGTTAAACATGAAAATTTATTCTGGAAGGTCAACGATTTCAGTGATCCGTTCGGGGATAAGAACTACACCGTGATTTGTTGATGAGAGCGGGGTGTCGACATGTATGCTTTACTCTCATCAGTGGAGTCAGACCTTTGTTTATAATAGATGTTTTTGCTTTGCATTTTACCGGTACTGATTGCAAACAATTGAATTCAATTTACAGGCCCTCAAACACGCTGTTGCTGCAATTGAAGTATCGAATTGTTGAGGTTATTGTTCATCGCGATCAATTTTTTGAGTTCATTTTTGCTTTCTTTATGTTGGCCAGCAACATTACTTAGAACTGTGCTCAGTTTTCTTGAGCACGCAAACAGCTGTGCAATATTTTCCCTGTTCAACTCACCATTCTGGTCCTTTATTTGCATATAATGCTTTATTTTAACCGCTTCTTTCAGAATGTCTTGGTTGTTTAGTTTCCTTCCCAATTCTACACCATTGTTCCCGATTTGTTTGGTAAGGTTAACGATGGTTATAACGAGAGAATCTTGATCGGGAGCTTCTTCTTGCGTGCTTTCCGGGAATAACACGAAACAGAGGAACACGATGAATATAACAAACCCTATGCAGAGCACTAGTGCTGTTGTGACTTTCATTATTCGCTATAAAGGAGAAGTCTGTAGAGAAAAGGATTCATATAAAGGGATTTGCTGCGTTTCATTAAATGATCAGAAGAACAAATCAAAAATATTGAGGCAATAAAAAGATGTTTTTCGTCTCATCGCAGATACCAAGTCTGTGCTTTGCCTATTTTTGCCTATAATTAGTAATAGCTGACAGACGGTTTATTGGTTAGCAGTTGATTCTCACATCACTCCTTTCATGATGTACTTGTCGTTTTTAACAGCTCCTTTTACTTGGTAATTAATCAGCAGCCAATGATCTAAATAATTCCTGGAGATGATAGCTGTCTATGGTACCATAAAAAGGACTACATCACCCAACACCATGTCACATCATAAAAGAAGATTCTTTATTTCTACTTGTGCAAACTATTACCTCCTTATATCAACATTGTAGAAAATTGGCTCTCTTCTACGGTTCACTTTATACCACGTGTTTGCCATTAAAGGAAAGTAAACCCTGCTCCGCATTTTGTATTATTCCAAAATTCATTCGTTTTCATATGAAAATCCAATTTATACGGCAAGATACGTTTACTTCGTATTGTTGGTATAAAACACGTCGTTACTTGTGCAGTATCGTATAGCATGTACATGAAAGAGTGAAAATAATAAGAGGATTTTGATATAAGACGGGTAAATACAAAAGATGCAACATTGAAGAGCTCTCTCTCCCTGATACATTACCCCTGCGATCAGGACGGAGCAGCACTTTTACCATACTTCCGCAACAGACTCTCGAGTTGCTTTGTTGGCAATATTTTAACTGGAAGCAAAGATTATCAGGCGGCTGAAAGTGTTTTTCCACATGAAACCGATGTGCTGTTCGAGTTTGGCACTTCGCTGCAAGTTTTGCTGGTTGTTGCCACATTCCCATTTTCAGGTATTTGATGAACGATCTTGTTCCATAACAGGGGTCGATTGCACAAGTTCAAATAATATGACATTCACCTAAAGTGTGAGCAACGAACACAAGAATAACGCATCGAGGACCAAAATGCGGTAATGACACTGACCGATGTGAGCATGCTTAAAAGTGAATCTCGTGCAAGTTGGCGACTTTGCATGTGTAAGACTGCATCATGACGAATTGGAAATGCACATCCTCAACATGATGACACGTATCAAAGTTCGTGGATGAAAATCCGCTACAAACGAACCATTGCGCATCTTTTTACGCGTTACGAAAATAACCAACGTACATAAAAGGATCAGTGGGACCCCTTCCTGCGGCACATGAAGGTTAAATACAATATTTTCATGTGAATCCTTAAGCTGTGGTTTGCATCAGAAGATGCAACAGGGTAGGGAAGATCACAGAAAATGATCGCTCATTATTGGTGTTACCCTCAACATTTTCGCATTCAATCGAGAATTTACAATGATAGATATAAAATATTATTTTCAGATACTTATATTACGTTATTAGACAACGACTTTAAAGTGAATTGTTGGCAGTTTGGCATTCTTTTCTTCTTGTTGCAGTTAAGGGGCTTTTGCGGTTCTAGTAAGGAGAAATATACTTTCGATATTTCGCAGTCAAATACGTTATTTTGTACGGTTTGCTGTGTTTTTTACGGCATTCCGAACCAACACGAGTTGACAATACCTGGTAGTCTCGTTTTGATGGTATGATAATCTAAAAGGGAATGTGATGTAGCAAGATTGGTGTTGTGGAACGTGGCGATGCAACAAACTCCTCCTAAAACGAAGAGGATGAGGCTCCAAGGAAAGCAATGAACAAAGTAAATCAGAATGTGTGTTTGTTTGGATGCTGCTGTGCGGGTGATAAGCAACATACTTGTGATAGAAAATAAATCAGTTTAGCAAATCACTCCTTAGCTTGTCAAACAGTGCCATGCTGTACAATGGATGCAAAATGTTCATACAAGAGAATTTGATCAGCAACAGACCAAACATTAAAGTGCCCAGCCAGAGAATGAAGTATGCTATTTTACTTGAACACGACTGTAACACTCTGCCGTGGATCGAACAAGCTCTAACACAAAATAAAACAAATCATTTATCAAGATGGAAACAGATGAAAGGCTGTAAATAAATATGAAACTGTTTGTTTTACTAAAAACTATAAAATGGCAAAATTGAGAACTAAGCATGAATAAGTTACATCTTATAATTCTTTCGCTCATGGCATTGGTATCGGCAAGGGAGTTTAAACGCCTTAAAAATTCGAATTTGATGTCGGCCCAGAGATTGGCACCTAAAAAGAAAGCAGATCCAAAGAAGGATGAAGAAGGCACAGAAAAGAAAGACTCCAAGAAGAAAAAGAAGGAGGACGATGAAGGTCAAGATAGTAAACTGCTCGCTAATACGTTCATGAATACTCATAACTTACTCGCATCTAAATCAGGATTGGCACCTCCCGAAGGAGAGTCTGGCTCTGGGGGTTCTCAGGAAGGCAAAGACAAAGACAAGGACAAGAACAAAGAAAAAGAGGAAGGCGATAACGATGAATCAAGCAAGGGCAAAAAATCAAAAAAAAACAAGAAGAAGGATGGAAATGAAAGCAGTCTCAAGACTCGTGGCTCATCTAATTCAGAGGCACTGCTCCAGAGGAAAAGCAGTCTTTTGAGCGAAGATGTCGAAACCAAGGATTATCTGAATGCTAGCGCTGCCGCTAATGATGAGGAAGACGATTCTGAGTGATTAAAAGGAATATTTCGTTCATAAAGCTCTCTTTTTTATTTTAGAGTCGATTAGGGATAACTACTGTCACATGAACGGCGTATTGAACGTTCATTCCGGTGGATTGTATTCCAAGGCACATAGCAGGCATCAGAAAATTTTACAAACGGATCTATGAACTAGTAAAGAACCAACTTTGTCGGTGCCGGAGGTATGTTTTATGTCATATGGAATATTGCTTAAACGTATAAAAATTCGATCAAACAGAGTCGTATATACCTGTTGCGCACAAATTTTCTATTTCTTGATGAATGGAGTGGCTAGCTTTATAAAATAAGGGAATAATTCGCGCGTACTTTCTCAAGATATAAAAGAAGTAAGGGCGTAATGCCACTTTGTCTGGTTAGAAGACAGAATGTTATTCATTAATGAAACACGATCTAAAGATTGGTGCATTGCGATATTGACTGGTATCCACAAAACATAAATATACAACATGTGTTTTGGTTAAAACATGGTGTCTAAGGTTTGTGTAAAAAAACGCTCTCCATCCGCAAGAAGCAATTTTGTATTTTGCTAAAAGTGTGTTTATTTTCTTGTGTTACGCTACATAATTAAACACACCTTCCGGGTTAAAAAGGCAGTTACTTTTTTAAAGATATTAAATGTGGGAATTATCTCAAATAGATCGGAAAATGAAGCATGCTAGAATTGAATTGGGATAAAAGCGTAATTAACTCAACACGATGAGGTAGGCCGTCATTGTAAAAATCCTAACACAGTTCTATGCGGGTTTTATGCACTGAAATTCGTTGTAATGGCAAAATTTCGTATTTGCACGGTGTGCATCAACAGTGTTTTACGTCAGCATCCCTGGTCCAATACAATTATTCATCGATATTTCATCCTTGCATCGTAAAAGTCTTTTCATTAAAATCCGTTTGCTTATCGTCTCACACCTCAACAACACCTAAATAACAAGTGTTCTAGTCCGACCGTGACCACTGGCTTTGGATCTATGGTTGTAGAAGTTGGAAGTTACATCACATCAAGGCTGATTTGGCTCTTGCATTATGATCAATTACCGAAGGCGCTTAACATAATTGCGTAAAGTTCAGTTATAGATGTCAATGAATGTGTTTTTTTGTTCAATGTGATATAGCAGGAGAGCTATTCCGTCCTTTGGTCTTACCAGGCAGATGAATACCAGTACAAGATCTACACATGAAAAATATTGTTTGGTCAGTACGAACTCCCGTTAAGTGACATATACGATCACCAGGTGCAACGTTCTGATTTACATTGTAGACAACGAGATCGTACAAATAAACAAGTAAAAACATTCTGATTTGCATCGTAGACAACGAGATCGGCAACAGTGTTCCAGCCTAGGAAAGGTGCATCATAGATGAAACACTTATGCAACAAATAGAATCAAGTGGTGTAAAGCGATGAACAACACTGCGGTGCAAAGGTGTTTATCTTCATGTAGCAAATAAAAAGCAGTAAATAATATCGAAAGCTAAATATTAACGAGAACCGGGAATACGTGCCACTATATCCGGTATACGAACACGTCAAAGAAAAAGAATACCCTAGCATCAACTTTGATGGAAAAAATTTCAATTCAACCTTTTACTTCTCCTTTTCTTTCAGCTTTTTTTCCTCCTCACTTATAAATTCGAGTCTCTCGACCAGCGTAGGGTGAGAATGGTAATACGTGCTGTACATCCAATCCGGACACACATTGGACTTGTTCTCCTTATGAATAGAAATAAGTCCCTTACCCAAATTCTCACCCAATCCTAACCTGATGGAGAACTGGTCAGCCTGCCGCTCGTTGTATCTTGAGTACATATTTGACAGCAGAGTGAAGAATGGTGAGAGAATACCCATGAAAAAGCTGAAATATATCATTTTGATTATAAGCGGTGTATTCTCGGCCTGGAAAAGAGAAGTTTCGAACGACTTGTTTTTAAGCGCAACCTCAAGGAAATAAAAGAATACAAACTGTGTCGAAAATTGGAGTAGTAGCATCTTGGGGATGTGATAATGGTGCCAGTGACCAATCTCATGTCCAAGAATAGAAATAATTTCGCCCTCGGTGGCCTGCTTTATCAATGTATCGAACAGAACAATTCTTCTCTCGCCAAACAGGCCAATGAAGTACGCGTTACTGTGATTGCTCCTCATCGAGCCGTCCATCACAAGAATCTTGTTGCACTTGAACCCAACTTTCTTTGCAAGGTCCCTGATCGCGGTCTTCAGGGACCCGTCTTCTAGCTCCTTGAATTTGTTAAACAACGGCTGGATTACAACAGGATAAATCATTACAAGAAATATCTGGAAGATACACACAAACACGAATATTATTGCAAAGAATGTGTCGAAATAATTCATTATCTTATAAATACCGGCATAAAGGAGGGATAGTATCAGCGTAAGGATGACTGTCTCCTTCAGAAAATCCTTCATGAATATTGCAAATGTCATCTTGTTGAACCCGTATCTTTCTTCGATGAAAAAAGTAGAAAACAGGGAAAGAGGAATGTCTGTGATTCGTTCAAAGTGCAAGAAAACTAACATAAACAAAACTTCAAGCATCATATCCGATTTGATACCAGTGGTTTTCTTTAAATAATCGTAGAACTTCGGGATGGTGTGAAAGTAGATGAAATAAATGAGCCTGCAGAAATTGACAGTACCTGAAAACAACGAAAATATCATCTTTTCTGTGTTGTATTTCTTCATCATCTCAAAGTCACCATCCTTTATCTTATCTACCAGCAGCTCATTTCTTTTTCCTCTTCTCAGCGCAAGAATCTGTCTGTAAGACAGAAAAACAGAGATAAAGTAGTTCGCAAAGGTTCCTATTATGATTATTTGTTGGTACATTTTTAAAGGGTCCAGGAAATTTTTCAATTTAACAGAAGATCAATCAAAAACGGTAAAAAATTTGTAAGATTATAATATTTGTGCTTTTAGTGAATAGTTACATGTTCAGTATGAAATATCTGTTGTAAATAAACGTACTTGCAACAGTAAGCCGAACTGGGATACCAAACAATTTTATGACTAATCCCGCAAAATGGAGAATTAGATTAGTTATCGATCAGTTACATCGTTTCATAGGTAGTACTGTGTACAAATGGTCCTTTGAAATTAATATAACATTTACAGTTGGTGCTAATTCATTCTGAACACCGCGTAGATCGATATTTCGCTTGCTGTTGCTAGCTAGACAACGCAATAAATCGCTGTCAAACCAACATATGCTATCATAAATAGTGAAGCGATATTTAGATTATGTCACGTGTTATACTCTAAAATACTTTCTGGCCATAAATGCAGGCCCAGGACAGGGTCCGAGTGTAATTAACCCATTTTTTCATCCAAAGCATGTTTGTTTATCTTCCTATATCGCGACGCTAGCACAGCACACTTCTCTGGTCCGTTAGAACCGATTATGTCATTCGTATATTATAATTTATCTTCTCATGTTAACATTGAATGAATTTTCTCTCTAAACAACAATTACTGCTCGAGATCCACGCAAATCATCAGGATCGTCCTAACTATTTCTGCAATTCCTAAGAATCTCCCAATGGAAGACAAAGCTACCGTAGTTATTATATAACAGCAAATCCGTATGAATGTGTATTTTTATATTACATCATATTACTTTCACCGCAAAATAATATACGTTTCCTGCAACCGAGATGACTTAGCAAAATTGATCAATCGTGATTTTCATGCTACAAATAATTCGTTGCGATTGGTGCTGCACGCCGATTCACAAAGCATAATTTAGACATCATAAACAAAGCTTTACATTTAAGACGGAAACCATGTACGTGTAGGACACAGCCAAACCACTCTCCTCGCCGATCGTGCACTCGAACCAATTCTAAAGAATAAAAGATAAATCACATCATGGTGATGCGATACCACAACTTACAAATTACACTTGATCTTTACTTATCCTGGTTTTATATTTTTCACGTAATCGTGAGCGCACGATCGTATCATGCACGTCATTCAATTCTATTGTGGTGTAAGCATATTTATCACCATCAAATATGGGTAATGATATGGCATCGGTACAGCTAATCCGTTCGCTATAATCAAGCTTTAACAGTAAACCAATCAGGTGCAGTAAATCTGGGTTATAGTACCGACCAAAATTACGATCCATAATATCGTACCATGCCAAATTTACAGCGTATTTCTCTTGTTCGAACAGAGACGAATACCTGTATGTACGCAGAGGGGCGCCCAGAAGTTTGAAAATCCGGGTAATTTGCAAAACTTCGTTGTTCTCCGAGAACACTGGATTATGTACCCTAAACTCCAACAAGATGCAACCGGCAGACCAGGAATCTATCCTATTATCATAGTTGTTCTCTCCCAGGAGCAGTTCCGGTGCCCTGTACCACAGCGTGCAAACTTGGTTTGTCATGTCTCTGCATTCGTACTTGCTTAGTCCGAAGTCGGCAATTTTCAGCAGGCCATCACGGGTGAGCAATATATTGCTCGATTTGACATCTCTATGTATAATGCCCCGCTGATGGAGATATGATAGTCCATGAAGCAGCTGATACGCCAGATTTTTGATTTGTTTATCAGAAAATCGATATTTGCTCAGAAAAAGTGCTGAGAGATCAAACGGAAGATACTCAAGTACCATATAGAAGCTGTCGTTATCAATATAGCAGTCGTACAGCTTTATGATATGCCGGTTCTTGCACTGTTTCAGGACTTTCAGTTCTCGAATCGTAATCAAAGAAATTCCGTTCTTCTCCATTTTGATTTTCTTGATTGCCAGCTTTTTGCCTGTTCTTGCATCTTTTGCCACATACACCTTTCCAAAGGTTCCCTCACCAATCATTTGCACGTTGCTGAAATTGTCCATTGGGGATCCGCAAAAATATCAGAAAATAGCTAAGTATATGGCCGTGCTGCGCTACATTTTGCAGTCACGGCAAAATGAAAGGGTTCAACATCTATATCTACCCAAATCCTTGCGTAAATAATTTATTCAGGACGTTAAACTCCATTTTTGCCTTAGCGCTTCGCATATTTTGTTTGCGAAATTGAGAAATTTCCTTTGCATTTTTAAAATCACTAAATTAAGTAATAAACCGCTATAATATCTCAGTTTATTTTTTTTTATCACTAATATACAAAAGTTGCGCATAACTTCACGCTAAAAGTCGTTTATCTGCACCTCACATCATGCATGCCTGTACTCATATTTTTTCTATCACAGGAGAACGATGATCTTGGCGTTATACCGATGCCACATTGTTGGATACATGAGAGTTGCATTTACCGAAAACGTCTCTCGTCTGGAACAAGCTCACTTGAGCAATTGTAGCCAATAGACTTCGATCACAGGAAGTGTTTATAACAGGCCATATGCTACCGGCATAGGCACAGTTAACCAGCGAATTTCTCCAGCAGCATTCAACTCGTTTTTTGAACGATTTTTAAAGCGGATTCTTCGATGTTTTGCACAAGAATGCAGACCTCCGAAAACATCTTCTGCTAAAAAATAAATGAAAAGATGTCTAATATGCGTGATTGGCACTCATTTGGATGCTTTCGACTGTCAACTTACCTATATGCGTGATTGGCACTCATTTGGATGCTCTCGACTGTCAACTTACCTATATGCGTGATTGGCACTCATTTGGATGCTCTCGACTGTTGACTTACCTATATGCGTGATGTGAACTTTTAGTCCGTACGCTATTGTACATTTCGCTCACTACTAAAAAAGGCCAAAACACTGCGTCGTACTGCAAAAGATGGGAGCCAAAACATTTTAATAAATAAACTCAGTCAAATTCTGCATTTTCGTAGTTCAAACAGGACATCTAAAGAATTGTTCCTTAATTCTTGTATGGAGCCGGATTAAATAAAAAAATTTGGGACCCTTGGTAACTGATGGAAAGGAAATTGCAGATAATGCCACCAAAAGCAGGATACTACCCAATGGATGACATGCCAGAATACATCAAGAAAATCCTGGCCATGAAACAGAAGAGGGCTAGAAAGGCCCGAAAAGATTTGGAACCAGGAATGATAGTGGTCGTTCTGGAAGGACAGTATTCTGGCAGCAGGGTCGTGTTCCTAAAGCAAACAGAGGACAACAGGGCAGTTTGTATCGGTCCTTCATCCGTCAACAACATTCCGCTGTTTTCAATTGATGAGCGCTTTCTGCTCAGCACGAGCACAATCCTCAAAGTCAATGACTACGATCTTAAAGATGTCAAGGAGTGTAGCATGGATGTCAACTACGAAAATAATGAGTCTGAAACAAGTGAATTGGAAAGAAGGATTGAGGGAGACGTATTGAAGGAGATTGCGAAGATGAAGTTTATGAAGACATACCTCAAGTCGCCCTTTAAAGTGACTGATAACGAGCATCCCCTGGCATTTAATTATTAAAGCTCATTTTTCGGGTACAAGAAAAATATATTCGATCGGTTGTTACAAAATTCTGCATTCCCAGGTTGTGTGCTTTTTGGTGTTTGGCTGGCAGCCGAACATCGTTCAGCGCCGTGAATGTTGAGGTGTACTCCGGCAATGAAATTGGTGGCTCATTTGAGTTTAGTATTTTGATTCAACGAAACGTTGACATATCGTGTCATAATTCATATCATAATTTGTACTGTATAATAATTTGTTCATAGAATAGTTTGTGTCGTGTAATAATTCGTGTCGCACGAAAAAATCCTAATCATAAATCTCAAAATCACTGTCTTCGCGGTTCTCCCTGTCTTTTTCGGGTTCGTTGTCCAAACCTTCAATGTCATTTACCAGGTGATTACCGTTTTGTATCCGTTCTTTCGCACTTTTTGTCCGAACCAAAGGCTTGTCAAAGTATAAATTTATCAGATCGATTCCCTTGTTGGTCAGAAATCCGTTTTCATCGGCAGGCTCTTTGAAATTTTCTTCTTTATTTTGCTCAAGCAAAAAAATTAGGTGTGGATGCTCAATCAGGCACACCTCTGTTGATTTGCGATTAAGAATTATTACCTGGTGCTTATACGACAGGAAATGCTCACACGGATTGTAGTTGATCTGGATCCATGATCTTCTCCATGGACCAGCCTTCTGGAAAAAGGCAACAAGCGGCAGAAATTTCTTAATTCGCACCAGAGGATATTTTAATCGGTGTATAATAAGTCTGCAAAACCGCCTCATACGTAGTATTTTGTGTATTTCAAACAACGATTCCACTTCTTTCATAATTTCATCGTATTCCTCAACACCGTACAGTGTTTTCAGTTTACCCACAAGCTCTGCTCTCTCTTTGCTGTTGAGAACATGTTTTTCCCTCAGTTTCTTCCTGTTTTTTCTCGAGGTTATCACGTTTTTAAAGTTATAATTGCTGAAGATTTTATCACTTGAGAGAACTGGCGGAGGATATTGCGGATAAACCATATTATCTAAATTGCAGCTGTTCACGTACATCAGAAACGCTTCCGTATCCAATTCCATCATATTTTTGAAGAAATCCAAGTAAAACTCGTTATTGCGTGGCAGCGCAAAGTCAGCTGGGTTATCAAATTTAAAAAAGCCTTCCGATACTCCGTGTATATTTCCATTTCTGATGTGTAAAAATCGCTTGTTGGTGTCAGCACTGCCTGTAAATGCTTTTTTCCCATCCAAATCTTGTTCTATTTTGCATTCATAAATGTCCTTTGATTTGACCAAATACAGCTCTCCAATGTCCCGCAACTTGAAGAGATGCTCGATCAGGTCAAAGTTCTTCATTTGGCTGGGGTTATTTGCCGATGCTTTTATAGACGATGGCTTTGTTTATGATCGACTTTACGTACCATAACTGGATGAGTCAGCGGTAACTTGATACAGACACATATTTTACCAGCTGCAGCAATTCAACAGATGAAAAAGACCTAAAATCTTGTCTTTATACCTTTTTGTAGATGCGTACCGTGTAAATATTAACGTGGTCTGAGAAGGACGTCTGTGAACACAATTTAAGATATAACAGGTAGATATAGTTGTGTAATCTTATTTGTTGCTGTTTCATCAACTGTTATGTATTGTTGTAGCTTTGTTGATCACCATTGTCCAACCGGACGAAGGTTTCAGATAAAGCGAATTACCGCACAAGAACATGCACACTGATGTGGCAAAGCTAAATAGTTGATGGAAATATCATCAAAGAAGAATATTGAAATAATGAAGAATATGGAAATGCGAACACTGCAAGTAAATTGATGCTCAGATGTGTTTCAAAACAAATTTATTTATCGTACTTCCGTATTGCTAAGGTACATCACAGCATATCTGTGCTCAGGTGAAGGAACGCCCAACCGCACTGCTGACAAAGATTTATTCGGGTGCATTGACTAAAATTTGTGGCGCAAATCACTTCCATTCTTTGTGTGATTAATTTCTATTCTGTTTAATGAGTGAAAATGGTGCAGCCGTTCATTTTTAAGTTGGCTAAAAAATTTTGGCCTAAATCACGGTTTTTGATGAGAAAAAAAGCACTGACAGACTACAAATGCAACAGAACTTTTACTGAGGCTTTTGTTCGGGACCTAAAAGCAATGAAATCGGAATTTGCACAAGAGCCAACACACGAGAATCTCTCCAATATTGAACAAAAATACGGATTAGATCTTGTACGATGTTTCCATGAAAACAGCAAGAAACATGTGCTCTACAACATAGTTTATACGCTGATTATTGAGCATTTGACAGTCAACACCAGATGCAAAAGTACACTTCTTTATATTTTTCTCCTACATTTTTTCTTCACCAGCCAGATAAATGACATAACCTACATAAACATTACAATTGAAGACCTGGAAAGAATCAACACGATTCAAAATCCATTCTTTGTGTTCTATTTGAGTGATCTCAAAGGAAAAGGTGCGTTTGACGTGCATTTTCATCCGAATGATTTTTTTCTACGAACCATCACGGCTGAGGTGGATGACATTGAGCAATCAATGGAGAATATCTTGACATAGCACAGTGAGATGCACCATCTCGGCGTGTTGGGTGATGAGTGAAGAAGTATTTAAAACGAGGACACGAAAGCGTTGTTTCTAATGAATAGATGTACGATAGTTGGTCATATTTGTTGTGAGGATGCTGGGTGCCCTACATAACATGTACGATGGCAGGTATTGTTCATCTCAGCGGATAGAGCGCCACTAATCGATCACACTATGAGTGGCGAGCATCGGTTCCAAATTGTTTTTGTAATTGCTCGTTTAAATGTGTAAACTGAACTACGCGCAACATTGTATCAAAAGGATTTGGCAACAAAAATAAGTTTGGCTCATCTTAAACTGGAATAAATATGATTATACGTAAATACAGACATTCTGGGTCGTCGTTTATTTTTGATCCTTTTGCAATGATCTCTTCCTATGCTCTGTTATTGTATCACTCGGGATTGCCAATTCATTGCATTCACCGGGCACATCGCCCTCAGATTCATTGCATTCCCGGGCACATCACATTGCGGATTCTTCTCACCACCCATGTTGCGCAGGAACTCCAAATTATAAAAATTTTATTTTCTGCACCCTCATGCTTTACAACCTATCATCGGTCAGCAAGGCTGCAGTCGTGCCAGGTGACACAGTGAGTGACATCGCTCTGCACGACATGTACGATATATTCGCAGCGACATCGTGGGACGGCTCTATCTATTACTACGATGCGAATGACGCGCTGGGCCACAAAAGCACAACGAAGCTGGGCGGTCCGCTGTTATCTGGCAGTTTCTGCGATGGCAACAAAATGGTGGCCGGTGCGGTGAGCGGAATGCTATATGTGGTTGATGTGGCCACCAACCAGATCAGTGAGATCAAAGCGCACGATCTGGGCATCAAAAAGACAAAGGTGTACAATAACATAGTGATCACAGGCTCATGGGACAAGAAGCTCAAGTTCTGGGACTTGCGCTCCAATACTCCGCTTTTTACGCACGAGTTAGCGCACAAGGTGTACGCAATGGATATAAAGAACGACAATCTCGTGCTAGCGCTCTCCAACAATACGGTGGTGACGTACAACATCAACGACTTCCAGCGCCAAAGGATACTCCGCACAAAACTTAAGTGGCAGCTCAGATCCGTATGCTGTTCAAATGACCAGGTGCTTGTTGGCGGGATAGAAGGTGCTATTGAGGTGCTGAACATGAGTGACACCTCCGATCACTACTACAAAGGGCACAGGTCCGCCAACATTCTGTATGCGGTTAATTGTATAGATGTGCATCCACACAGCACCTCATTGGTGGCGAGTGGCGGCAGCGACAGCTATGTCCTGATCTACAACAAGCAGCAGCGTATCAAGACGTATTTTGAGAAGACGAATGCGCCCGTGACAGCCGGAAAGTTCAGCAGAAATGGGCTGTTTTACATCTATGCAACGGGCGAGGACTGGTCCAAAGGATATCCTGTCACGCAATGCGCCACCAATGTCTGCACCTTAGACATAAAAAAGGCAAAAATTATCGTGTAGTTGAAACAGCAGCGACGAAGAAAAGTGTTAAGGCTAGCATGTGGTGTCTGATAGGTAATACGTAATAAATATTTGTGGTGATTCGCCTTATGAAGATCTTACCGCACGAAATGGTTTACTTCGGATTTATTGTTTAGTTGAGCGAGACTCAGTCCTCCTACCGCTTGAGACCTAGCATCTCAGACATTAATTAAAAGCACAAATACTCTTGGATCAAGCATTGGTGGTTCCCTCTTTCTGCCGTGAATTATCATATCTCGGTTCATTTTTAACTCAGGCTAACGAATTAATTGCTTATGCGTGGCATACAGTAGATGAACCGTTTTTGATGAATAAACGTGGTGTATTGGTGTTGTCCCTTGGCGGACGGATCGCATTAATTCCATTAAAACAGCCACCATGTACGGGAGCATGCCGTAATTGCGGGTGTGCTCATGTTAAAATGCTTATCGGGTAAATTAGAAGGATCAGATTGAATTTGTCTACAATCACAATTACTTGGAATGACAGAGCATTTTCATACGTTTAAATTGATTAGAAAGAAAAGAATATGGAAAATAGAACGGGCATGGTGTGTATACCCACAAAACGCTATCTGGAGATAAATAATGTGGTTATCGGTCTGAGCGTTAATTGTGTATGCCTGTTCATGAATATGTGGTTATCGGTCTCAAATGCTTGATGTTCACACCCGTCCGTGAATACACTAATCCGCAGACCTCAAGTTTCATCTGACGAGAAATTTGCCTGTCAAAAATGAATTTGTTTTTAATGTCTTGTTTACCAGAATTTATCAGATTACGGAAATTATCGGTGAAATAAAAGAAATTGAGTAATCGTGGGATAAAAATGGAACGATCACTGTGGAGAGAACTGAGAAAAACAGACAAAAGGGCGTATGGCTTGTACATGAAGGAGATAAGGCACCAAAAAAAGACGCTCAGTCTAAATGCGAACGATAATATTGTATCTGTTTCGGTGCTTGAGGCAGCATCGTCCCTCTTTGTAAATTCATATCCTGAGAACTACCGGTCAACAAGAAACCTTGGACGAACAAAGTACCATGAAGAAGTGGAAAAAATGGCTGTTAGACGGGCACTGCGACTTTTTAAACTAAGCACAAAGAAGTGGTGTGCTAATGTGCGGTTGGTGAGCGGCACATCTGCCAATTTTGTAGCATTTATGGCACTGGCAGGTGTAGGTGGCAAGGTGTTGGGCATTAAACAGGAAATGGGTGGCCACCACTCGTTCACATTTCTCCCTGACAGGAACCAGAGCACATTCCAAGAAAGGATCTTTGATCCCCTCAGCTATGGAGTTAGAAACGATGGCTGCATCGATTATGAGGCAATAAAAAATGCAGCCATACAAAGCCGGCCAAAAGTTATAATTGCTGGTGGCTATGCGATCTCTTCTGACATGGATTTCAGGAAAATCAGAGCGATTGCACGGAGCGTGGGCGCAATTCTTCTTGGCGACATTTCTCACCCATCAGGATTGATTTCTCACGGTTTAATGAATAATCCATTTAAATATTGCGATGTGATCACCACCGTGATGCAGAAAACAATGGGTGGGCCTCGAGCAGGTATTATCTACTGCCGGAAAAAGTACGAGCAGCTTATTAGCAATGCACAGACAGTTCTATGTGGTAATTCGCACACTCACATAATTCTACAGGTGGCTGTTGCTCTCAAAGAGGCGCTCTCAGAGGGGCATTATGAGATGTCCAAGAAGATACAGAGCAATGCTCGTCATTTGAGGGAAATACTTCTTGGATATCGCTTCAATACGTACACTACAGACAGTCACATGATACTCATTGACATGGAGTGCGCGATTAAGGCGTACAACTTCGAAGTTGTGGCAGACTTTCTCTGCATCTCTCTGGATCGAGTGTCGCTAGCGACCCATCCCTGTGTCTACAGGCCAACAGGAATACGAGTAGGAACAACGGGCATTACCAGAAGGGGAATGGGGGAAAAGGAGGTGGAAAGAATAGCAAAAATTCTCTGGTCGATCAAACAGTATGTTGACGAGGACTTTAACACCAAAATGCTGAACTATGAAAAAACAACTGATGAAGAAACCGGACTTGTCTTTGATTCGAGGTGTTTGAAGGCTGAAGAACTTAAGATGAGCCCGAAACTGCAAAGAATGAAACGAATGGTTGAAAAAATAACGAAACGATTCCCAATTCCCTTTTTCGTGCCGAACAGCAGGAACAGATGCATATAGGTGGCACAGAAAGGTTATGAAGGGATGAGACGAGCCAGTTGAATCAAATATGCAGTGCGAAGTATTCTACGGACAAAAACAACACAATGACGAGAAGCGTTGTAGAGGCCTAATCAATGCAGCGAATGGAAATGTCATAAAGATGGTGGCAGTCCAAAAACCTGAACCACCGTAGAAAGCGCATAGTATAACAACTGTAGAACGCCTTCAATTGCGAAAATTGACAGCAATCTAGAATGCTATAAAACAAAAAAATGTGTGAAGACGTACATCTACACAAAACATTGAAGCGATAAATAAACACATTTTATTCACTAATAGCGATACCGCGGAATACCGCTGCTTCATTGCCTTCTCCGCAAAAACTTGGACAACAAAATCTGCTCCACGGCAAATTCTTACAGCCACTACATTTACCCAACATTCCTCTTTGGATTATCCAGGCGTGCAGACTCCTTTTGCGATTCAAAAGTTTTCAATTCGGTAGTAAACTCCTGTGAGAGCTTGCTGGCTGCCTTTTCTGCCCCACTCACCTTTTCGATCAGACCATCACTGTAAATAATCTTTGAAAGGTGATCCATGATCTGTCTGTAATGTTTCGAGAGATAGGAAAGCTGATCTCTAAACTTCTTGAGATCCTTTTCCTCAGTGAGTTTTTTATTTTTTCCCATTCCAAAAAGTCGGAGAAAAAAATTAGTTGTTGTTTTGGTATCTCCTTCGACGGGCGCCGAGCGCTTCCTAAGTTCCTTTAAACACATCGTGAACGATTTTTTGAAGTTCTCTGCCAAATCGGGTTCTTCTGCAAAGAAGCCGAAAAGATCTACGAGATTGGTCAAAAACGCTTCTGTGTCGTAGCCAAAGAAATTAGTTTTCGCCAAAAAAGGCTCTATGTCCTCCTGTGACTTTTCATCTTCCAGGCCTTTTTCCAAATTGGCTAGCTGATCGGTATATTCCTTCGTTTTGTTCATACATTTCGTATATTTCTCGAGATTTTCTGTTGTGAACTTCAATTTGTCCATCTTGCTGATGTCGATCACCGTTATTTTTGATATTTGTTGTGCAAATTCTGACAGATAATTGTTGATACTCACCAGCGCATCCAAATCTGCTTGAGTTTCTCCATTAGGCAGCGCGTTCAAGAATCCGATAAACAAAGACAGCATGGCTTGGGAGATTCTGCTATTTTTATACCACATTCTCCTTTTAAACCTTACGGGAAGATTGAGCCCTACCTCCATTGGTCCGCTGGCTCGGGTGCAGACCCACTGACGTAACTGTTACCAAGATCTATATAAAATGTTGTGTTCGACGATAGGCAATAGCCACAAAGGGTGCATCTTCTGCAAGGGAATTAGACAATGGATTATTGTTCTTCGCTGTAAATATTGAGTAGCGAGGAAGAATTCACCTGTATTGAACAAAAATCTTCTACCGCTAAATAGTGAACAACAGACAATCAACAGCAGGATGAATCATGGAGCGTACTAAGATTTCCATATCCAATAATTCATTTTAAACTTGCATGCCATTTGTCCTGATGTGCTGTAGTCGGCATTTTCTAAGTTATGATTAAAATAGCAAATTTCGGCTTAGCTTGTTGATGTGTGAGGCAATAACTAGTGACCCCTGGACATGGAGAAGAAATAAAAATTGATAACAATCACGTTTAGCTTACAGCAAGATACGTATAAGCACTACAAGAACAGCGAACCATAAAAAATATTGAGATAATTGCCGTAAGAGTACCTCATCAATCAAGCGATTTAGTTAATTTCATCTCGGCAAATAATCCGCACGATCTACCGAATCTCTTCGGCAAGAAAATGATTTAAAATAACCATACATGAACCACAAATCACCTAAATTAAATTCATCCCACCTGTTTTCATACGTGAGACACGTTGCATACGACAGGCATAGTGCAACAGTGGTGCACAGACCATCGCATTGTACCGCCGTGTCCGCTACAAGCACCTCTGTAAAGGATCTGCCATTCCTAATCGCTATTCAACGATCCATATGATGACCCACAGTACTCGACTGATCTTCCGCCACGATCTCATCATCATACTCGCCGTAATCCTCTAACACAAAACCGTACTTCTCCAAATGAAAGGCTTTAAATACCTCCTTGGCCGGCAATTCGAACACATCCTTAAGGATATTGATGCATTTGTCGATGCATTCTTTCCATTTCGTCGTGAGATCATCCAAGTCTTTGTTATCATCTTTGTGTTTCTCCAATATCTTCAATTTCCTATAAATATCCTTGTAATTTAAATTATTCGTTCTGAACTGGTCCGAATATCTTCTTTGTTTTTTCTGATTGCTCCTGTTGTTTTTGCGGGAGTAGAATGTTATGCCATCAACTTGTAGTGCGTTGTAGAGGTGTTTATCGTTATCCTTCACGTTTAGGAAATACATGGGTGGTTGAAAAAGGCAATCAAAAAATCACATTTTACTTGCTCATATGCCTACACAGCAAACAATTGGGGTATGTGCCGATGGAAGAGTTGTTAACGCTCTGTGTTACACCATTTAACAGACAAATTGCCGGCTACAAAGTTTGACAATGGTTTGGTTGGGTGAATAGATGAGTGTGATCTGATTAAAAGATCTTTTTTGGCAAACAATGAAAGATGATTCATAAGCATTTATGCCCAGTATTTTCCTTTCTCATAACTAGGATTATTTTAATTAAATTTACTTACCATCTCAGTTTCCTTTCACGACAATACAGCTTAACCAAGATTAATGTAACTAAATTTACTTACCATCTCAGTTTCCTTTCACGACAATACAGTTTAACCAAGATTAATGTATACAGAAATATTTTTCCACATTCCTTCATATGGCTAAGAGTTCGATTGTATTCTTATTCGGCTAAACTAATTGTAAAAGGCGTGTATCACGGTTATCCGGAATGTATGAAACTAGTTCAAGATGGTTTACCACCAGCGTAATGTTTTATGAATTGTCTTATCGCTTAGCATTTTTGGGCCACACTACCGATTTGTTAATAAGATAAAAGCGCACAAGCAATTTAATAATTCGCCACAAACAACGTAATGTGTGTTTCACGATGGGTACCGCACAGGTTATAGATTCTATCACAAGAACAAAGATCTATGCTGCCGAGATTTTCCCCTGTTTTGAACATCGCACGATTGACCACAAGGCAACATCTAGGCTCTAGTACTACGTTCATTTTGAAGACCACCCGGTAGTTGTTCTGTTTTTGTATCCTCTTGACAAACTTAGTCATGGTTGCCACGTACCCAAGCATCTCATTCGATACGTGCACCTCCGGTGATATTAACGATGTTTAGCCGATTATGTAAAATTAAGCGAATTTGGGCGATAAGGAACAGCTGAAGTAGTAATTAGATCATTAAAACTGATTCAGTAAGCAGGTTCAGCTTGATATTTTGATAAAACTAGTTCATCTGAGCACATTTGCTATACATGACATCTCACTACCCCATTTTCGTAAAACTGTTTCACAATTATCAAACAAAGGTTTCTGACATAAAACACTGAGGTAAAATAAAAATTAAGAACGAATCAAAATTACAAGGGTTGTTTTGCAATGGACGAACACAAGCTCACAGAAATTAACATGTCTCTCCTTAAGTTACTCTACAAGGGCAAGGACTACGAAAGTACCATATTAAGCCGTAAAATAATTTTTGAATTGCTTGAAAACATGGAATGCAAATTCAAAGTTGCGGAGTCGTGGAATTTGATCTATTCGTCGATTGAGCACGGTTTCTCGCTACGCACCATGATCGGTAACATTTCAAAGAGCAAACCGCCGTTTATACTGGTCTGCAAAGAAAGCAACGGCAATACATTCGGGGTCTTCATAAATGACAAAATATGCTTCAAGTCTACGCTAAGCGGTAAGACAAGCACTTTCCTTTTTAAGATGGAGCGTGAACAGGTGAGGGTGTTTAAGTACTCAGGGAACTTGCCGTATTTTTGCTTATGTTCACCTAGTTTTATAGGATTCGGTTGTAGCGAGGGCAAATTTGGTCTTTTGTTCAACTCTACGCTCTTGACTGGCTCTTCAAGCCGCGTGACAACATTTAGCAATGAGGTACTGTCCAAAGAGGATAAGTTTACCGTAAAACAAATAGAAGTGTGGAATATCGGCCACTGATCCACTCTATAGAGAATGACGATGTGCTGTTCGTTGATTTTGTTCCATCGTGAAAAATGCGATTACTAAATTAAAATAGTCTACCACCAATGAAATTCAGTCCAGTCGAATTGGTGCATTCATCATGGCCCAATCTGCAATTATTAGGCATATTTAGGTCACATGAATAGCATGAGAATGGCAGTGAAATAAAAGGATGAGTGGAAGAGGGATGTTTTTATGTATATAGCAGGTCTTCCTAGCGTATTAGTACCCGACATAGCCGATTCAATATTTAATTTGCGATGATCACAATTGTTTTACTCCTCATTAGCCAACCGGAAAGCTGTGAATATGTGTGCAGGATAGTACGGTACGGTGTTCTATTCCTATCAAAGAAAATCCAAAGTGTTGTCACACGAGCGTGCATAATTTACAGATATATTTCACTGACAGAATTTATGTTTCGCTCGCCACATCACCTATTATATATCCTTGGTTATTCCAATTCATCTCTCTGATACATTAACAAAGCGTTAGGCGAACAAATCATGATATCGTGACCTATCACTAGTAAACAATATGGTATTTTAGTGGTTTAGATATTGTTCATGATTTGTGGGCATTGATATATTCCGTCAAGATGCAAGCTGTCGGAACTGCAATCTTTGTTCAAATACAGCTTAAATCGTCAAAAAGGGACCAATAATGAAAGAGGCAGGCAACAAATCACCACAAAGTATGCAGAAACAGATGATTTATCGATATAATCCTGCCAATTCATTTGTTTCGGATAGTTATAAAAAGGGCTGCGCTCGGAAGCAGACAATGAAAGAGATGCCAAGATACGAAAATGATAAGAAGCTGAGAGCTGATAAATCATCGTTGGGAGGGAATTGCATAGTGTGCACATGTGGAAAAAAAGATCTTAGAACTTCAGCAAACGATCAGAAGGACTGCGCAAATTCCGTAGAAACGGAAGCGTTTCTTGATGCAAGAGAAGATGGCTATTGCGGGGGATGCGAAGGCAAAAATGCAATAACAATCGGAAATTGCCGTTCATCTATCAATATTTTGTTCCCCAATCCGGGATTAGAGAATTTACCCGCTCACAAAGAGAACATTTTGTTCAATAAAATATATGCACAACACATTAGCCATGACTACGCAAATGTGATGAATCAAATTAATGAGGAAAATACGGGTCAAACAAGTGCCGTATCTGAGGCAGAAATTGCAGAGATAGTGGCTGCATCCAGACAGAGCCGAGAACTCGCTGGTGTGATGTACGAGGAGCAACCGAGTTATCCGGAGAGGAGAAGGAAGGGCATTGCCGAGGAACTCAAACCTGAGTATGTCCCTTTGGATCAAACAAGTCGAACCTATGAGAGTTCCTCATATGAATACGAGGGTTACTACACCGATCTGGGTCACGTTTCAGAAAATGAGTCTTTTGAAGAAATGTTTAGAAGCAGCTACAGTTCTGATGAGACACCAGACCCAAAGATATGGTGTAGCAGGCGAATCAGTTCAAGACAGAAGTTGAAGATTGACAAATTGAACATGTTGTCCACAAAGAAACATGGAGAAGACGCTATTGTAGACTATGAAAACGGTTACAATATGAACAATATTTCGACCAACCGACATGCTGATGTCAAAGGGAAAAATTTAGCAGGTGACAAAGAAAGTTACCAGTATTTGGATAAGTTTGGCACGAAGAACAATGAAAAGATTCCAAAAAAATGTTTGCTAAATATCCGAACAAATAATGCAGATACGCGTGGTAGAACTGAGGGAGTTTCTGAAATGCAGAAGACGGATGGAGCGAGTTCAGGTGCACTACAAGGCGAAAACCTCGAAGAAAATCTCCATATATCACGGTCTCACGTAAATGGTATGCAAAAGCAAGGTCAAAATCTTGAGCAAAATCCGTGCGAAATTCTAGATGGCGAAAAAAACCTCATAACACAGGATAAAAAGACTGTAGAACCATTGGAGAAGACAGAGGAACCTCCACATGGTCAGAAACATGAATATTCGTTTATGTTGGCCGATGATGTCGTACAAAATAAGAATATTCTGTTAGAAAGGATCAAAAAAAAGATTGCTTCAAAATTGTCGGAACCAGAAAGTGCCAATAACAACGAAAGTTTCATCATCAGAAAGGAAGCAACCGCTTCAATTGAAAAAGGGAAGAATCAAGACAAGATATTTAGACTTTTACGTGAGCAACTTGCCGGAAGAAGCAAAAAGATGAAAGGGAATAAGGTGAAGAGTGCTGATAGTTTTGTCAGAAAGTACGATGTATCAAATCAAAATTTTGTTATTGATAGAACGGCAGGTAATACTAGGGAATTAGAGAAAAAGTTTGTCAAGTGTATGAAAGAACACCTAAAATTGAATAAAGGTTCGGCTGTTGGAGACAACGTAAGTATTTCGGGTGATGCAAAGAAAAGCAAAGGCTTGAAAGACTCATTTATCCGATTGCTAGACTCATACACTGTGGATCAGGTAGACAAAACGATTACAGACGATAACGGACAGAGTATAAAAATTGTTAGGGATGGAAATAGAGTGAACAGTGCAGTGCCGAAAAGCACTGAGTCAGGCGAAAAAATTCATGCTGATGAGAGAAATCTTTTGCTGCTCGATGACAGTTTTTACGTGACTTCGCTGGAGAACAATGTTCTGGAGAATAGGAAAATGGAACTCAGCGTAAAGATGCACAACTTCAAAATAATTATCAAGAAAACACAGCAGCGGACAGATGAGGAGATAGAAGTGGTTAAGGAAGGACCACTCGGGCCGTCGAGTGCTTTATTTAACGATGAGAAGATGATCGAAACAGGTAACTTCAGCCCGAGCAGCATATCGGATGGTATAAAGGATGTTGAAACAAAGATTTTTAATCTAGACGAACAAATCCAAAAGGAGTTTTCGCATGATGGAACAGGCGAGTCTAAACTAGATATTAAGGAAGAGGATCGTATTATCGAAGAATACAGCGCTGCAAGTGATCGGGTTGTTCAAGAATCTGGAGAACAAAGCAACACAAACATTACGGAATACCACGGGGTTACGGCAATGGTGAATACAATAGATGAGACGAAAATGGATATGCTCGATCGGAAGGTGGTCGAAGAAGATCAAATCGTGCTTGAAAAAGAGGGTGCTGTAGCAGGTGTCGCTGTTTCCGGAGATGAAAGCAATGCTGAAAATATCAAGATAGTTGAAATAACGGATGAAGCGAAGGTGGAAGAAAATGTTGAAAATGTTTTCATGGGAGATGTAATTGAGATTAAGATCGATGAAGACCCCGAGAGAGAACTTGAAAAGGAGTTAAAACAGCGGATTAGAACACAGTATGTGGAGGGAACGGAGATAAAATCGATAGAAGTACCGGTTACCGAGAAAAAGGTTTTTTCATTATACGAGCCATATCATGACTACAACTTTGAGCGCCTGTTTTACCAATTTCATATTGAAGAGTGCGAAAGTTTAAAAGAATTTGGACATGCAAACATCATTGGCAAGATGCACTACCGATCCGAGACGAATTTTTTTAATTTCAATTGGGTGAAGCTAAGTGAAAGAAAATTGTTCTGCTACAAACCGGAGTTTTCATATATAAGGAGAGGAGAAAGTGATTTGCTCTCACCAAGCCTGAACGAGAAGTTCCATGCATTGGACTTTGCAGTCGAACTTGAAGGTGCGAAGCTCTTTTTGTACAGCGCACCGACATTTACATTACAGAACGCCATAAAACTGTTCAAATGCAACAAGATTTCCGAGTTCATGGACATCACCAATTTTCACGTCGTGAATGTTACACCTAAAGGATCAAAATATCTGGTGGATATTTCGAACGATCATATTCGAAAACAATTTATGATAAAGGATTTGAGTTTTACAATCGAAAGCAGCGATGTAAAGTACTTTTTCAGAGTTGAAACGTTGAAGGCTTTCATAAACTGGTTGGCATGCCTATACATGAGGATCCATAACTTGAAAGGTTTCGTTTAATGTGACAGATCTCATAAATAAAGCATAATTACTAGAATTATTATTCTCGATTATTTCTTTATTTAGTATTGAATTATAAAAGGTAATACCCGTGGCACTTAAGGTGAAATAATACAGAGATTGTTATCCGATGCCATCGATCATCGATAACACTCATTGTGATTTGTGCATTCTTGGAAAAGTAAACGTGATGCCATTTTATAAATTTCTTGACACAAAGAAGAGTTCCAACAGTTGTACCTCGAACTAGAGGCTAACGATCACAGGTCATCAGAACGGACAGACATGTTTGTTGATATAAGGTAACACGTGTTCTAAATAGGACATATGCTAATTGGGTTCATATTTGGCGTAAAACTCAATGGTTACCATTTTGATCTATGGAACGTAGTGAAATAATGCAATATATCCCGGTGTTTCTCTTCATATCAATTTGAATACCGAACTAGCTGCTTAGCTCATCAAACCATGCTATATATTCCATCTCATGTTTTTAAATATAAATCACATCAAAACAAGAACATAGCTGCAATCAACCATACTTTTAAGTCGGGTTAGGCAAGTTTTTTATCCTCATAAAGACCATAATTGCACAACTATAAAGAATAAAATGCGTAATCCTTTAAAAATTCTGATTTGATATCTTTTAACCAGAATAGTTCGTTGACACGTTTAACGAACTGTAGCAACAATATTGCATTATTGAATGACAGTTGTATTATTTCCGTTTAGACAACAAAAAAAGTTTGATTATCTACGGATAATATATTTTTTGAGTTCCTCAGAATATTCCTGCATTTTTTGGCAGGGGTTAAAAGATTAGTTTCCGGTCGATAACCGCACATTTCCTATGTTGTGTGTAAATTATGGTGAAAACATTTCGAAAGAATTAGTTGAACTCGTAATTTTTCATTTTGTGCAAAAGCGTAAAACAGAAAATCTTTTTTCTTTGAGCTAAACAGTTCATGAATTTATATAAATGATCGATTGATGAGAATCTATCGTCTATGAAGTTGTCAAACGGTATACACGCTATTTTTGTAGTTGTAGTGATGATGAATAGCAGAAATGAATTAACACGTTATCTTTAGGTAAATCGAGTTGTGTGTTTTTAGGAATATTTGGCCAAAAACTATTACCATACATTGAAACGAGCCGTACCAAAGGACATTACGTGAAAAAACGAGATCCACAGATACAAAGCGTTTTGCATTGCCTTAAGTAAATCTCAAACGCATGAACAGTAAAGTTCGAGGTTCCAAATTCTAATATTTAGACGAACATTTTTTCGCTGAGAAATACGAATGGTGATATGAAGTTTATATACCAGGACTACTCCTCACTGTGTCAGGAGCATGAATGTAGATTAAAATCACTCTATTCCTAATAATAATATGGAAAAGGTAACGCTCATATAATTCTTATTTTGAAAAAAGGTAAATTTTGAATATGCTTTTTTCATATTATGATTTCTATTTATGACAAATTAAAGATAAGAGAGTAAGAAAAGAAAAAAGTGAGATCGTATTGGTGACTGCAACGAATCGAAGATTGGAAAGTGTGTTTATTTGAGCATTATAGTGTGTAATAAAAGAAACAAACATGCTTATAGAGAAGTGAACGAAATTTGTGAACCAATTACCAGTTTATGATGAAAAAGATGAATGAAGTAAACAATAAAGCAGGGTTAGAGGTTAGGGTTAGAGGGTTAGAGGGTTAGAGGGTTAGGGTTAGAGGGTTAGAGGTTA